CGAGCCCCGCGTCGGGCTCTGGGCTGATGGCTCAGAGCCTGGAGCCTGTTTCCGATTCTGTGTCTCCCTCTCTCTCTGCCCCTCGCCCGTTCATGCTCTGTCTCTCTCTGTCCCAAAAATAAATAAACGTTGAAAAAAAAAATTTTAAATAGTGGTATGCTTAAAACTGTTTTGTTTGTTGCCCATCTTAAACATTAGCTTTTGGAATTATTATCTTTGGGCATTACAAGGTCGTTTTCCACTGAATGAAATGGCCTGTTGTTTTTCTCCTCTGCCTGCTAGCAGGAATATAAACAAAAGGCCGATATGGAGCATATTTTTATTTGGGCCCTTGTAAATACCATTTAGGAATGCTTTAATTCTTGCCGCTACCCTCATCACACTACTATTCGCATAGTTTCCAGTGCTAAAGTTTAACCCCTGTAAGAAAAGTTAAAGGAAGGATTTTAGGTAGAGGAGGTCACTGAAGAGTATAAAACGTCCTTATGATTGACTTCAGTTTCCACACTGTCTCTTGAGCTGTTGGTTTAACTTTGTTCCCATTCAATACAGTTCGCACATTTCATTTGCAAATTCTCTTTTTATTTTTTTTATTCTTTTAAATTTTTTAATGTTTATTTTTCAGAGATAGAGAGAGATAGCACAAGTGGGGAAGGAGCAGAGAGAGGGAGACACAGCATCCGAAGCAGGCTCCAGGCTCTAAGCTGTCAGCACAGAGCCTGACGTGGGGCTTAAACTCACAAACCACGAGATCATGACCTGAGCTGAAGTCGGTGCTTAACCGACGGAGCCACCCAGGCACCCCAACAAGTTCTCTTTTTAAACAAGACTTTATATGCATGCACAAACACACAGCTTCTTAGCTCAAACAAGTTATAAAGCAATACTAACTCTAGCCTCAATCCCATTATATCACTTCTCAGTGCATTTTTCTTTTTTTTTTTTTTTTAATTTTTTTTTAGTTATAGTTTTTGAGAGAATGAGCGGGGAGGGGGCAGAAAGAGAAGGCGGGGTACAGAGGATCTGAAGTGGGCTCTGTGCTGACAGCAGAGAGCCCAATGAGGGGCTTGAACTCACGAACCGTGAGATCATGACCTGAGCTGGAGTTGGACGTGTAACCAACTGAACCACCCAGGTGCCCCTCAGTACATCTTTCTACTTGTTTTTGTATTTGTGATGCCACTGGGATCAAATTGGAACAAACTATACAGCCTATAAACCATATACTCTGATGGATCTTCTCTCGGATGAAGCCTACTTGTACAGATAAACTGAAGCTCCTCTTAAAAATCCCATAGATTTGGGGCACCTGGGTGGCTCAGGTAGCTGAGCGTCTGACTCTTGGTTTCAGTTCAAGTTGTGATCTCACAGTTTGTGAGTTCGAGCCCCGCATCAGGCTCTGCGCTGACAGTGTGAAGCCTGCTTAAGATATTCTCTCCCTCTCTCCCTCTCTCTCTCTCTCTCTCTGAAATAAATATTTTAAAAAATCCAATAGATTTTCATGGACAACTTCCCACTCTTTTCCAATTTGCAGACAAATCGGTTGGAGGTTGTAAAATCAGATACAGAAGGGATTTTTGAACTGCTTTATATTTTAACCTCTACATGAGATTCAGTAAGAGAATTTGGCTTGCTGAATCAGTTCCTCCATTGCAGAGTTCACACAGCTGAGAAATAAAAACATACATAGTTACGTATCCGTTTACGTTTTTCTTCATTTTATAGGTGTTCAGCAGATGAATCCCCCTAAGGAACTTCTTATTATTGGCTTCTGTTTCATACGGACTCAGAGAAACCCACCAAAGCTACTTAAAGCTTAACAATGCTTAACTCATGAGCTCCATGTGCCTTTTGGATCTTTGCAACATTGAAGATTTGGAAGAAGCTCTTCAACTATTTTGTGATGGTGTTTATCATTTTATATCTTAAAGAGATTATTTTGTAAGGAATAACTTTTAATACTGTAGTTTCACCTGTATTCTACTAAATGTTGCGATACAGTTTTGCTTTTAGGTATCATTATTAAGTTACTGGGATGAATACCTTTCATGTTTTGATCTTTAGTTAACTGTGCACCCAAGAAACATACAGGTCTTTCAAAGTCATCCTAAATATTCAACTTTTGTAAATCATCAAGACTCAAAACACTTTATCTTTTAAACCAAGCATTTTCTAAAAATGACTATTGTTGGGGAGATGGAAACAGGTCATATATTCTTAGGACAGAAGTTTTTAATAAGCTCTTGGCAATGAAACCTGGAAAAGTATTGACTCTTATACAAAATTGGTATGATATCCCAGGCAGCTCAATGACGATCACATTTGAGAGCCCTGTGTTTGAAGCATTTATAGGCAACATGTAGCAACAGTATTTACCTTCTCTTTTAGAAGAGGCTATTAACCCTCATTTAACATGGTTGAAAATTTAAAGCAATACTAATTAGCCAAGGATGGGTTTTTGGCAGTACTGGAGGAATTAGGCTTCGTTTTTAAAATCTTCAATTCATATTGCATATTTTATGCTTGGATTTGGGGGGCTTAAAAAAAGCTGATAATCATGTGATTAAATACCTGATCAACAGGTAGGAATATAATTTACACCAGCATATTTTTGTCATGGTAGTAAAATGTCCTATAAACTATTTATACTTTTTTTGTTCTTCATAATTATCTAGTACATAAGCATCGTTTGTTCATTTTTGAAAGGGTATTTAAATAAGCATTTTTTAGTTCATATGAAAATAACCATAGTACAGAATGATCTGTGTCCGTACAATGTTAAGTTAGACTGTACAGTTAATTAGCTGTTATATTTATGGTACTGTTACATGGGGTAATACCTTTTTTCTTTTAAGCCCAATATATATATTATGCCTGCCTAAGTTTTGAACTGGGGCTATATTTTCAGTAGTTGTAGAATTATTGGTATTAATTAGTTTTGATAGTTAACGTCTGGTTTAGATCTGCACAATTTGGTTTTTGCACAGAAATCATTTCTAAAAACCTGAATAATTGCCAAATATTAGAAGAAAGACGTTCCTCAAGAATACAGGTTTTAGTCAAAGTGGCCATTACCTCCTCTTTTTCTGTAATAATACAGACACTTGAATAAGTTGTGGTCATGTCATATGCCAAGAAAAATCTTTTCATTGGTGCCTATACTGTAACAATTACTTTTAACACATTGTATTTTGAAGTAATGGTTCAGTTGAAATGTTCACCTGCTATGGAACTGAAAGTCAATTACAGTTTATAAACTATAGAGGTCTAGGAATAATTTTGCAACTCATTTCATGGGTTAAATGAATATTTTTGTAAAAGCAAAGGTAATAAATTTATAAATTGATTATTTGAAACTTGACAACACAGCCACATCATGAGTAGGAATTATATTGCTTATTCATTATAGTTACTAGTCCTATAAACTGTTTCTAGGTGAAGCATACTCCAGTGTTGTGGGGGGGGTTAAAAATAAATATTTAAATTTCATGGTCCTCAGTGTATGTTTTCTCCAGGGGGGTTATGGTGTCATATTTTAGTTATTTCAAATTTTTTCTCCTTTGCCCTTTAATTTGCTGTTGGAAATTTAACACCAACGTCTCCATTGGAAACTAGAAGGTATTCTTCATATTCAAACATTGATTATGGCTACAGTGAAGATATGCCCCCCTGTCATGACGAAATTGAGAGTCCTCTTTCAGTCAGAAATGTCCTAGGTTGGACAATAAGTTGTACGGTCACCCTAACAATAGTTTTATTAGGAAATCATATACAGACTTGAACCATATAGCTCTTTGGGGAAAACAAATTTCACAAAGACTTCCAGAGCTGAGATGAGAAATAGCATAGAAGCCTAAAGGAATTTGAGTTTTCCTAGAGAAAAAGTCGAAGATGAGCTTAATATAGCTTTGAGGATCTATAGGATTAACACATACATAACTGGACTTCAATATATTCTTACTATTAAATAGCTTTTCTTGGGGAGCCTGGGAGTCAGTTAAGCGTCCGAATCTTGATTTTGGCTCAGGTCATGATCTCATGGTTCATGAGATAAAGCACCACATCAGGCTCCACGCTGACAGCACGAAGACTGCTTAGGATTCTCTCTCTCCCTCTCTGTCTCTACCCTCCCATGCTCGTGCTCTCTCTCTCTCAAATATAGATAGATAGATGCTAGATAGATTTGTGAGTTACTGGGTAGGATTCAAAGAGCAGGGAAAAAAGTGCTAGAATGAGGGAAAGGACTAGAGAAAGGTATGTTAAAAGGATATTTTCTGATATAAGGATGAGGAAAGTAAGAAAACGGTTCCATCCATCTTTTCTCCATTAAGTCATGTATAAAAATAGCTTGCTTATGTAATTGCATCATTTGTTTGAAGTTAGGACCCAACATTGTCCTGTAAATATGTTGTACTTAACATTAAAATCAATAAATGAAGTTCTCAGATGGAATGCTGTACCTTCCAGGAGGAATAGTAGGGAAATTCTGAATGGGTCAGGAATAGAATCTTGGTTCATGAACTCAGTCTGGTTTTAGCACGATCCTTTCTCTTTTCAGCAGTCGCAGTTCAACCACTTCATCCCTGAATATACATTTTCACCTCCCTCCTTCCTTTTTCTTATTTTCTAACTGTCCCTTCCTTTAGTAATAAACCAGAACCAATCATTTCTGAAATTGGTTAAAACAAAATGAAGACCCAGGGGTGCCTGGGTGGCTCAGCTGGTTATGCATCCAACTCTTGATTTCAGTTCAAGTCATGATCTCACAGTTTGTGAGATGGAGCCCCACATTCAGGCTCTGGACCGACAGCACAGAGCCTGCTTGGGATTCTCTCTCTCCCCTCTCTGTTCCTCCCCTGCTTGCTCTCTCTCACTCTCTCTAGACAAACTTTTAAAAAGAATAATAACAAGCAAAATGAAGGTCATAGTTGCAACTTATTTTTTTAAATAAATGGATGTTCATCACTCTTTATTAAAATTCTGTTCATCTCATTTCTTTGCCTACATACATGCAAAAAAAAAAAAAACTAAGTCTTGCAGGAGAAAGTAGATAAACCAACATGTTGACTTTTATCTTTCACTACATGTAATAGTTAAGAATAGAGAAATAAGTCAAGCATCATATCTTCATCAGGCATATATCTGGCTTTAGAAATTAATTCATGAATTTCCGAGGTTGAGAATTTTTCCCAGTCCCAGATGCATCACAAACTTGTATTCTGCCGAGAGGATGTATGCCACCATCTTGTTCCTGAGACATCAGAGGGCCATGCTCCCCCTAATATATGTTATAAAAATCAAAATCTTTAACACGTCACAGAAACATTTGCACTGGAACCTTTAGTTGCAGTATGGTTTAAGAACAAACTGACCAACATAGTCACAATCTACTAAATCACTAAAGGACACAATTCTATATGCCAACCCATACTGTCCTCATTCTTCAATGTGGAAGAGCGCGAACTTCACTGATAATGTCTCTATGGAGAAATGTATCATGGAGATGATAAATGGCCACCTCACCCTACAACAGTGCTGGTGACGAGAAGGTATGTTCCAGAGTCACTTCAGAGGAAACTTGAAGAGAGGAGATTGAGGAACGAAGCAGCAGCTGGATCTTTCATAAGCTCGGTGCCCAAACTCAGGAGATTCCCTTAATGCCAATGAGTAGTAACTAAGAAAACGGTTTGTGCAGAAGGTTCCTTTTTTTTTTCTTTTTTAATCTAAGTTGGCAACATGGAACTGGCCCAGGAATGTTCCTGGCGTTCACACTTCTAAGCTAAAAAGTAATTACACGGTTTTAGCAAAGTCCTGTCTTCAGCAGTCGGTGTACTGAAAGAAACGTCTTCGTCCTCTTCATCTAGCTGTAGACTACCAGAAGATAAGCGGATTCTGGCCATGGGTGACCTTACCCCTTTGCCATACAAAGAGTAGTAGTCCGATTTAAGGATTTCTGATTCTGAATCACTGGATTCACTAGCTACGTATCTTTCTGATGCTCCCTGATGCATTAAAACTGTTGGAAGCTCCTGCTCTGCAAACATATATGGGAAAAAGTCAGCTTTACGACTCAGAGTAGGACAAGGCCCTAAAGGTCTAAATTCAGACCCAAAAGGAAAACGGATTGTTTTCATATCTGATTGGCTCTGGGATCGTTTGGGAGTTTGCTCTTGAATGTTACATGCAAACGCATCTTCTAAATTTGGGTCTTCCGCTTCCAGATCTATGTTGATGTTGCTCCTACCACTGGTCCTGGCCATAGCTTCTTGGAGTTCTTCAAAGTCTTGCTGAAAGCTCTTCATTCTGACATTCCTTGGGCTCCTTTTGGCTGGCTTCATTGCAGTGGGCCCTGGAGAGCTGTCTGGCCTTTCCCTTTCCTCTGCCAAGATCGGAGACCGTCTGGGCACCTGGGGTGGTCTGTCCACGTAAAAAAAGACTTGGGGAGGCATAATATTGACCTGCTGGCCAGTACAAGGTATATACGGCACATCTGTGTAAGTCAGCCGCCTCGCTGGGCTCACTTCACTTGTGAGGCCGGCAGGTGTGCTCATGTGATTGTCAGCAAACTTACAGCTCGGCTGGAAGGAGCTCAGAGGACTCCTTCCCTCAAAGTAGTCTCTGGGATCGGGGTCTGTGTAAAGAAAAGTGAAAGAGGAACTGCTCTGGGACTGATGTAACAATGCGGGGTCCGCCTCTGGTTTGGACCGCTCTGGCGCGGCGGCAAACGTCATCTCGGCTGCTGAGCTCCTCCTCCTACCGTCCAGCACGGGCTCCGAGGCTCGCACCCCATTCGCGGTTCGGTAGTATCCGCCGCCATACGCTAGTCTCAAATCTTCCACCTTGAGAGGGAGGACATGGTGAAAGAAGAGAAGAGTCGTTTGGTGGGGGTGGGGGCAGGGATCCAAAGTAGCCTCCAATTTCACAAAGGTATTTCTCACACCGTCGTTTCAACCCATGTTCTAGTCCCAGGCAGGGCCATAACTTGTGCCATATCCCAATCCCTGCGCTAAAAAGTACACAGGACGCTCTCCTTTCTCACTGCCACCCCAAGCCCAGCCTCTGAGTTCTCCATGTGCTCCAGCCAGCGAGGGACTTTAAGCAGTGCGGTTTAGTAGCTCTACAAATGAGCCAGGGGTTCTGCTTTCTGGTTCTGGTTCTGCCTTTGACTTGCCGTGTGACCTTAGGCAAGTCCCCTAACCTCCCTGCTCCAGCCTCCTCCCTATTTTCTGTAAAATGGTGGGAAGGAGGGCTATGAATGGCATGAGAGGGTCATAGATTAGATGGTACCTTCCAGCATCATACCTCTGTGAAGCTTTTGAGATAAAAGCTGCCTATGACCTGAATGAAGACATGAGCGTTTGTGAGACCTATAATTATTATTATTATTTTTTTTTTTTTTAGGGAGAGCCAAAGAAAAATAATTAACGTGGCTAATGCTATAAAACCCAAACGAAGCCATCATCTCACTGTTCCAGGAGAACAGCACTGTTCTTAAATTAAGTGACAAAATTACACAGCAAGAGTACTTTAAAACGTTAACCCAAGACCTTACAGCTTCCTCTAAGCCTTAAGATTTTCATTAGGTAAAAAGGAAGAGCTTATACTTTTAAACATGCAAAGCCACAGAAATTCATTTGGATCTGCATTTTGCAAGATGTTAGCAACACAAGGTGCAATTTAAAAATGTGCCATACATCCAAATTGGCAAAGATGAAGTCAAGCTTTCGCTTTTTGCAGATGACATGATATTATACATGGAAAATCCGATAGACTCCACCAAAAGTCTGCTAGAACTGATACATGAATTCAGCAAAGTTGCAGGGTACAAAATCAATGTACAGAAATCAGTTGCATTCTTATACACTAACAATGAAGCAACAGAAAGACAAGTAAAGAAACTGATCCCATTCACAATTGCACCAAGAAGCATAAAATACCTAGGAATAAATCTAACCAAAGATGTAAAGGATCTGTATGCTGAAAACTATAGAAAGCTTATGAAGGTAATTGAAGAAGATTTAAAGAAATGGAAAGACATTCCCTGCTCATGGATTGGAAGAATAAATATTGTCAAAATGTCAATACTACCCAAAGCTATCTACACATTCAATGCAATCCCAATCAAAATTGCACCAGCATTCTTCTCGAAACTAGAACAAGCAATCCTAAAATTCATATGGAACCACAAAAGGCCCCGAATAGCCAAAGTAATTTTGAAGAAGAAGACCAAAGCAGGAGGCATCCCAATCCCAGACTTTAGCCTCTACTACAAAGCTGTCATCATCAAGACAGCATGGTATTGGCACAAAAACAGACACATAGACCAATGGAATAGAATAGAAACCCCAGAACTAGACCCACAAACGTATGGCCAACTCATCTTTGACAAAGCAGGAAAGAACATCCAATGGAAAAAAGACAGTCTCTTTAACAAATGGTGCTGGGAGAACTGGACAGCAACAGGCAGAAGGTTGAAACTAGACCACTTTCTCACACCATTCACAAAAATAAACTCAAAATGGAT